AAACCTACCAGCCACTCCTCGAAAGGAAGAGTGGGCAATCTACTTCCATAGTGATACCACCTCAGAAACCCAAGGAGGGGTCAGTATGAGTCGGATTCAACTTGACAGCAGTGAGTTTGTGAGTTTTTTTTTCTTATTCATTCAACAAATATTTCCTGAGAGGCTATCATGTGCCCTCCCTCTCCTTTTTTCCCCTCTATCTTTTTCTTTCTCTCACACAGAATTCTAATCTTTAGTAAAACTTGATCATCATTTGATTTGATTATTTAGTTTCTATATCAACAGGCAATGAATGTTAAAATACTAAATCAGATGATTTGATTAAGAACTACACAGTAGCCAATATGCACATATGCTGCCCTATTGTACTGCTTTATTGACAAATAAGAGATTCAAAGACAAAATTTTGCCCCCTCCCAATCTCTAGAATTGTTTTTTAAAACAAGTGAGAAGTTTTGTTCTCTACGTCTCCAACACAGTTCTTTTAGCCAAGATATTCTCTATATAAAAATGACAAAAATCAAATGTTCTCTTTTATGTGTGTGTTCCCCTTGTGGTTGTTGTTTCCCAGGGGGTATCCAGCAAATGTTTGTTTTGTCAAGAATGCTGTTAAGAATCCTACTATGCACAGGACATTCCCCACGACAATGAATCACCCCACCCAAGTTCAGCAATCCTGCCCATAATGCTAGATAGAGGGCAAGAATGGTGTCTTATTCAAAAATGTATATTAAGAGTTGGTTGAGATAAGGTAAACATAGTTTGGTGAAATAAACTCAGTCTGACATGTAACTAATTCTTACAGTCCTCCATATGAGCGAAGAATAAGGTAGGCAGGAAGTCAAGACTGCAGAAAAGAGAAGCCTATCAAGTAAACTTGCGTAGTATGCACAAATAAGAGGAAGCACAGGGCTGCAAAGAAGAAAACGGTAAGTTTCACCATTTTCAAAAGCAGTCAACAGATTTCTAGATACAACTACTTTAGGAATGGGGTTGCAGTAACCCATACCATCCTGTTATTCTCTCCAAAATCCTTTGGGATGAGAGCAGTATCCTTAAATGATGAAGGAAGCAGCCATGAAGAAGAGCCACCAGCACACAGCCCCTTAGAGGGAAGCATCATGCACATCGACCACTCATTCTGAGGGGCACTACACAACTGACACAAGTTATCCCTCAGGGAGTGAATTCAAAGTGTTCTGTTTGAATTTGTACAAATGCATATTACTGTTATAATCAGGAAAAAAATAAACAAATATACATTTGTTAGTATTTCTCACAGAAAACATTGAATTCTCTAACTCAACATGTTTTGGGCATCCTGCCTTGCAGTCATTCTGTCCTTTGCTGCTGTTATTACTGAATCTGTGGCCAAGGTATAAAGTTTCAAGCTCTCCCCAGTAAGTCCAGGAGCTGAATAATTTTACTCTCCTCTCACCACTCCTGAAGAGTTACTGTGACCTTTCCATGGCAACTCTCCATTCATTTCCATCTTAGTTCATAAAACTTGGACAACCATGTTCTCAACTTCCCACTCCCACCACCTCTGCCAGCCAACAGTAACCACTAGGTCCACAAAAGGGCCATATACTTTCTAGCAAAGTAAAACTCCTGATAGAGCTACAATGAGAAATGACAGTGTTCACATCTGCTTGACTGAAAACAAAAGACAGATGACTGGATTCTGAGTTGCTGAGAGGACTCCCAAACAGCTCCCCAGCTCCCATTTGTAGGTAAGACTAGTAACAAGCAACAGCCAGTGGGTCACAGTCGTATCTACATTGTCTGCAGTGTTCTACAGTAGAAGGATGTAGAGTTAAAAATGACAAGGACTGAAGACATTCTAGAGAATTAAGTCCATCTATAATAAACACTCCAGTATTTTAAAGTCATAGAGTTTTAGGGAAAGTTCTCATTAAACATAAAATATAAGGGCCTAAACTAATGATCTGACTCATAATTTAACAGAACTACATGTTTACTTCAATGTGAAGGACATTAAAGATCCATCATTTCAATAAGGAACACAAAGAGAACCAGCAACAAGATTTTATAAAACTTTCTATCCAGGTCAGAAGATAATCGGCCAGAGAGTTTGGCAAATGAAATGCCTTATATTTATTCATACATGAGAAAATCCCTTGGTAATAATAATAAAAGCTTTTGTATTGCTCTGAAAGTCTCTTAGTGGTGGAAAGAGGATGGAATTAGGTTAGATAAATTATGTGGAGTCAAGACCAACGAAAGAGAGGCAGGAGAGAGAAAAACTAAACAACTCAAATAGAGTTGGAGAGCCCAGGTCCCTTGCTGGCAAATCTCTCAGATATCCTATAGCTTGAAGCTCATATTAATCCAGTAAATGTATTAATCCTCTGCCTCATTTCAAACAGAATTTAAGGAAGGAAACACGGACTTATATTATAATCAGAAAAGAATATATATGGGTAAGTAAACTTAGGCTAAAGGGAAATAAGGGTGGAATAAGAAAATGAAGCTAGGGGTAAAATCACCTTGGGAACATGTATATTGATAATAGAAAAATCCAGAACTTGAAATAAACTCTAATTTATGAGGTAAAAAAGAAGCTTTGCCACTCACCAATTTTAACCTCTGTAAAGGGATTCTGCCTACATCTATCTGTGTCCTTTCTGGGACATTAGTGAATCGAACTTCTGGGACTGCAACGGCGCACATGACATGGGCCCACCTACAGAAAAGGAGACATGAAACGTCAACAAAAGTCCCCTAAACTTACATACCTTCGTGCCTCAAACTAGTGATGTCAATTCTCGCAGACGGAAAACACGCAGATAAGAAAGAAAGCCAAAGGCCTAAATTCATGATAAAAGGAGGTTTTGAGCCTTAAACCTCCCAGATGATACCTGGATAAACTCAGCACCACACCTGCCTACCCCTGACAAGAAGAAGTAGGTCAAGACCAATGGTTCAATCCTCTTAAATGTACACATATTTTTTCCATATTGAGCTACAAAATACTAAAATATAGGTTTCCTATTTCATTTGCCAAAATATACAGGTGCTTAATATAGTTATGCTAATCATTATGTGACAAAAGTTGAGTTCTATTAATATAGGTATACACTAGGCATAACATATAGCTTTTTTACATAATATAAACGTCATAAAGCTAACAAGTTCACATAGCAAAAAAACTTTTAAAGGGCTTCAAACAGATTATATCTTTAATTAAATTGTTTTTCCCTGTAATCTTAGATAATCAAAGAAACCCAGAGATAGGGATAAATGAAATTTAACTTGTTCCCTCAATTCCAACATCTAAAACCTAACATCTCCTTGTCAACTCCAAAATGCTGCAGAAAACTGCCAGCTTCCCCAGTGACACTATCAAGCCCCTCATAAATATTATGTCCCAAATAAATACAGAGACTCATGAGGTTTGACAAACTCTTGAAAGAATTATCAAATCCAATAATCTGTTTTTCAAATAAAGTATATCTTTTCATTTGTAAACCATAAAACTCCATCTTGGTTTTAAGGACCACAGGGAGGGAGGACAATTTAAGAGTCAAACCTATAAGAGCATATTCTTTCACATCCAAGTGAATACCATAATGCTGTAGTGTTTCCTTTGGTTTTAGCCCAAGGGTAGGATGAGACCTTGTGACCAGCTCTGTCTTTCCAGTAACCCACTTAAAGCATCTCAGAGTCTGCACATGCTGTGTAGCATGCTGGAACTAGTCAACACTTTTTAGTGTAATGCCAATCACATCAGCTGGGAAAGAATAAAGAAATGATAAATGCCTTTACACTTCCTGGTAAAGAATCAGAAACATATGCATATATGCATAATTATGATAACTCATTTGCATGTATACATAATTATGCTCATTCATTTGTTACACCATACCAGGGATCACAACTCCACTGCCCCCAGGACAAGGCAGGTGTAAACAAGTATGTGTATACTGGCAGGTCACCTAAGGGGTCCTGCCCCCTTTAGGCCAGGTTCTCATCTCAACTGGTGATGGCCATGTAGAGATGCACAATTGTTTTTCAAGCAAAGATGAAAAGCTGGATTTTAAATCAAAATATCTCAATCTTTAAACTTTGGATACAATTTATAAAATCATATGTAGATCAAACAAAATAGTCCATTGGGCAAGATATGGCCCATTTTCTCTACTTTCAAACCACCCTATGGTAGAACTCTTTCAAGATTAAAACTGAGTCATGAGACTAAAAATAAAGTTCACTCAAAAGAATATTTGAATGACAGTCACAAAAGCCACATTACCTTCCAATTATATTCACCTACAACTCTCCTTTGAGACACTCCATATTTTTCATCTGACCCTATGAATCTTAAAAATCAATGTTCTCTCCCGTTTTTCCTTAGGACACATACTTCTTTTTTTTTTTTTTTTTTAAGACCCCAGTCACTACTCATCAATATACGTTGTGGAACAAGATTTTTATGTATTTTGTTGTGCCATTTGAGTCTGGTGTCCCCCAGTACTATGTAAAAGTACACATATTTTCTTGTTAATTCACTGGTGTTAAAAGTAACTGGTTGCATTTTAATGTCTGACTTCATGTTTGATGATTGTTTTAATCTGTTTAAATGACTGATTTAATTTATCTAGAAATAACGGATTTCACTGTGTTTAGACATACTCTGTTCTTATTAGATAAACAGGATTCTAATATCATGTTAAACACTAGGATTCTAATGGGGCCTGGATGATATTGGCTGTCCTCATTACTAAAAGGGGTTATTTTCGATGGTGTCAAAGACCTAAAACAGAAGCAAGACTTAGAAGCCCCTCACTCAGCAGAGGTGAGAGGACTGTCAAGAATGGTCTCTGAAGACACATACAGTATCCCAACCACAAATCTGGACACCAAAGCTTTGGGAATGATGTGGATAGTGATGGGAAGTAATGCATTATCAGCCAGAGGTTCAATGCCCTAGGAAGGAGAAACACAATGAAATGCAACACAATCAATGCAGTACTTACTTATTGTTTTTCGTTTGCTTAAGAGCACCCCCTCTCAAATTGCAGAGACAGCATTCCTAGGGAAAAAGAATACCAGACAATTATTAGACCCACACAACAAAAGCCATGATATATCTCAAAATGCCTAGAAATTTTATGATCTTATTTTAAAATTAAAACCACCCAGAATTAGAACATGAAGGCCTTTCTATGTCTGAGCAGTGCAGAAGGAAGGGAACAATAAGAGGTGGGCAGGGGAGGGTACACCCAAATATATTTCTGAATATGCATGTCTCCAGATGGAGCTGTCATTGTCCTGATGTTCTGATGTCACTTAAATTGTCATCTCTGGGAAAAGCCTGTGACAGCAGCCTGGAGAGACAGGTACTGGAGTTCTACACTCTACACATACGAGAAGGTCCAGAAGAAAACAGGGCCAGAAAGCAGAAAGCCTTCTGTTGACCTAGAATTTTTTTAAATTAAATGCCTGAGTAATTTCTTTTTAGTTTTAACTTCAAGATTATGCTCCCAGTTTTCTACACTAATACATCTGAAAAATAGTTATAGGTTATCTTGGGTTTGTTTTCTTCCCCTCATCCAAGCTGTATATATAAAATTTCTTTACCCTAATCTCCCTTAACTAATTTTGACAGTTTCCCTAGCTTTATAAGGAATCTCTCTAACTTATATCTACTATTAATAATGGAGTGTCAAACTTCATAGTGTTTATTTTTCTGAGGAGAGTAATATAAACATGAGGATGGGAAATCCACATGTAAGTATAACTCATTTGTCAAGCCAAAGGAAAATCGCCGATAGTTTGGTTGTCAACAAAGCATCTCTCTGCTCATCAGTTTGAAATTTCCTGGGTGACTATGCAAGGATCCCAGTAGCTAGAGCTGCCCAGCATATATGGATCTAAAATCCATTATAAAGTCAGCTCAGGGGGATAAAAACTCAAGGGAAAATTTTCTCCATCCATAAACCAAAGTCATATTCTAGAGTCCTTTGGGGAGATTGAGAGTAACTGGTTTTGGGGGTGAAGAACATAAAAAAGCAAAATATCTTGATGCAAATACTGAATGAAGATGGTGATGGTGATGGTGATGGCGATGAGGATAATTCATGTTATTAAAAGTTCTCAATATTAAGGTTTTTTTTTTTTTTTAGGAATGTAACACATCTGTAAGAGAAAGAGAAAAAGAAGGAAACCAAAAGCTCAGTCAAAGGCTGTTTACAATCACCTCAGCTCGTTATCAGAATGGAGGCAGCGGAAGAGACAGAATTAGACCGAGTAACGAAAGCAAGAGTGAGAAGCAGCCTAAGGGCCAGGTAGGAGAGTTAAACAGAGCAAAGCAGCATGGAAGATGCCTGAAGCACCTGAGTAGGTTCACCAATGGTGCACAAGAGGAGGGAAAGTTCTCTAACAGAGAATATTTAGAGTCAAGATTTTAAGTGGAATTGAAAAGATTCCCACCCATCACAATATGAAACTTGCTTTTTCTAGGATCACCAGTGGTGCCATGTCACAAAATCTGACTGACAAGTCCATTCTTTGGTTTGCCTGACCTCTTGGCTGCATTCAGCAACCTTTCTGAAGCTTCCTTGCCACTCTCCAAAGACAACAGGATTTCCATAAGCGGCCCAATTCTCTTCTAACTCATGCTTCTCAAGCTTGCTAGGCCATGTGATCATGACTGATTCCAAGCACTCTCTAAGGTCAACAACTCAAACTTTACTTCCTGAAGTCTTTGGCTGACAGCTCTACACGGATGTCTGATGGGCTACGCAAAAACTCCTGCAAAACTGAACCCATCTCATCTTCCCAAACCTGGTTTCCACTGTTCCCCATCAGTGGCACCAACCATACAGTTTAGTTCATGCTAGAAGACATTTACTTCCTCTCATCCTAGCTCTAATCAAGAAAATACTGTCAATCCACCTCCCACATCACCCTCTTCTCTCCACATCACTGCTGTCATCTTTATTGATGCTCTCAGTACCCTTCACCTTGTCTAAGGTACTGCAATAATTTGCTTGCAGTCACTCTGGACCCCACCAGAATTGCTTTAAATATTTCTCATCACTTAATGAGGCCCAAAATGGCACAGCATCATCAAGCCTTGGCATTGTCCAGTTTCACTGCATATCTCTATCTCGGACACCCTACAGCCATCCCATGCCATAAACACTTCAGACCTACTTACTCCATTTTTCATTAATTAAACTGAATGTATCTGTTATAGATTGAATTGTGTCCCAAAAAAATATGTGCTATAAATCCTAATCCCTATACTTGTGGATGTGAGCCCACTCGAGAATAGAGTTTTCTTTATTATGTTAATGAGGCCATCAGTGTAGAATGTGTCTTAAGCCAATAACCTTTGAGATATGAAATGAGCTGATTAGAAGCAGAGGAGTAAACAGAAATGGAGAAAGACAGATGCCACAATATATGAAGATCACCAAAGAACGGAGTAACAGAAGCTAAAAAGAGAAAAGGGCCTTCTTCCAGGACCAGCAGAGAGAGAAACCTTCCCCGAAAGCCAGGGCCTTGAATTCAGACTTCTAGCTTCCTAAACTGTGAGAGGAGTTGACCTGAATGATGTGGATAGGGTAAAGCTTTTAGTATCACCTTTCTTTGTTGATGGGACATACTGAAAATAGGAAGAAACAGCTGCAAACATTCATTAATAATCAGAGTGTGGAATGTACAAAGCATGAATTAGGAAAATTGGAAGTTATCAAAAATGATAGGAATGCATCACTATCCTGGGCATTAGTGAGCTGAAAAGGACTGGTATTGGCCATTGTGAATGATACAATCACATGGCCTACGATGACAGGAATGACAAATTGAAGAGGAATGACACCACATTCCTCATCAAAAAGAATGTTTCAAGATCTATCCTGAAGTACAATGCTGTCAGTGACAGGATAATATCCATACACTTACAAAAACACCAATTAATACTACTATTATTTAAATTTACACACCAACCACTAAAGCCAAAGATGAAGAAATTGAAGATATTTACCAACTTCTATGGTCTGAAATTAACCAAACATGCAATCAAGAGGAATTGATTATTACTGATGATCGGAATGTGAAAGTTGGAAATGAAGAATCAATATTTGGAAAATATGGTCTTGGTAATAGAAATGACACTGGAGGTTGCATGACAGAATTTTGCAAGACCAACAACTTACTTACTGCAAATACCTATTCTCACCAATATAAATGGCAGCTATACACATGGCCCTCACCAGATGGAATACACAGGAATCAGACTGACCACATGTGTGGAAAGAGGCAATGAAGAAGCCCAATATCTTTAGCAAAGCAAGGCAACGAGCTGACTGTTGAAAAAACCATCAATTGCTCATATGGAGCTCAAGCTGAAGCTGAAGAAAATTACTAGTCCATGAGAGCCAAGATATGACCTTGACTATGTCCCACCTGAATTTAGAGACCATCTGAAGAACAGTCTGAACACCAATGACCAAAGACCAGATGAACTGTGGGATGACATGAAGAACAGACCAGAAAGATGTTTACCAGAGTTTTATTGATTATGCAAAGGTGTTCGATTCTGTGGATCATAAAATTATGGATAACATTTCAAAGAATAGGAACTCAAGAACACTTTAATTGTGCTCATGAGAACCTGTACATAGACAAAGAGGTTGTCATTCAAACAGAACAAGGGGATACTGCATGGTTTAAAATCAGGAAAAACGTATGTCAGAGTTGTATCCTTTCCCCAAATTTATTCAATCTGTATGCTAAGCACATAATCTGAGAAACTGGACTGTATGAAGAAGAACACAGACTCATTAACAACCCACAATATGCAAACGATACAACCTTGCTTGCTAAAAGTAAAGATGACTTGAAGCACTTACTGATGAAGATCAAAGAGTACACTCTTCATGATGGATCATAGCTCAACATAAAGAAAAGAAAGATCCTCACAACTGGACCAATAAGTAACATCACATTAAATGGAGAAAAGATTGAAGATGTCAGGGATTTCATTTTACTTGGATCCACAATGGACACCCATGGAAGCAGCAGTCAAGAAATCAGACATCATATTGCACTGGGCAAATGTGCTTCAAAAGACCTCTTTAAAGTGTTGAAGCGCAAAGATGTCCTTTGAAGGCAAAGGTGTGCCTCACTCAAGCTATGGTTTAAAACATAGCCTCATACATATGTGACAGTTAGACAATGAATAAGGAAGACTGAAGAAAAGCTGCTGATGCCTTTGAATTGTGCTGTTGGTGAAGAATTCTGAAAATACCATGGAATGTAAGAACAAACAAATCTGTCCTGGAAGTACAGCTGGAATGTTGCTTGGAAATCAGAAGGCCAGACTTCACCTCACCTACTTTGGTCATGTTGTCAGAAGGGACCCATCTGTGGAGAAGGATATCATGGTTGGTAAAGTAAAGGGTCAGTGTAAAATGGGGATGACCCTCAATAAGATGGATTGGCACAGTGGCTGCAATGATGGGCTCATGCATAGCCAAGGATTGTGAGATTGACACAGATCAGGCAATGCTTCATCTATTGTACACAGGGTTGCTGTAAGTTGGAGACAACTCAACAGCACCTAACAATAACAACAAATCTGTGAGACAATGCATTTTTGTTTGTTAAAGCCACCCACTTGTGGTATATAGCAGCACTAGATAACTAAAACAGCAGCACTGAAGTCTCAATCTAAATGTTACTCAGAAAAGCCTCTGCAGTTCTTTGGCCCAGTTACTTTTCTCTCATACCATCCCACTGTTACCTTCTATTAACTCATTACTCTCGTAACTATTTGTTGAATTCCTTACTGAGCTGTACACTCATTGAATGTGTGACTTGGCCAGGTTAAATCTCTCTTTCTGTACATGATTTCCAACAGAGAGAACACACTCAATACATGTTCATTAAATAAATAAATTATGTCAATACAGGGCAGAGAGAAAATCTTCAAAATTACCTAACAATTAAAAAACTGCCAAAACTCTTTTTACTTAATGAGGACACTCTAAGGAAAGGTTGCTGCAGGCATGGAGTTATTTT